AAACTCTTATCTATAATAACACCTACACCATTTCTAGTACGACTCATACCCGAATACCAAAGTTTAAATCTTAAACTATCAATTTCCTTAGCCTTCTCTCCAACCAACTTAGTTTCCTGAATGCACAAAATATTTAACTTCCTATGAATCATAATATCTATTAATTCCATTAATTTTCCTATAAGGGAACCTATATTCCAAGTTCATTTCCTAATTTTAGTTTCATGGACTAGCTACTTTGCCCACATCCGTCCTTGATGTGGGAACCCTTGCCTATTTAACATTGCACCCGGGCGCCGGTGCAGTAGCCCTCATGGGCGGATCCCCATTCACTTGAGGGGGGGCAAATGCCCCCCTCAAAAAATTTTTTTTTTAATTTTAAAGGGTATAGTTTGGAATATTTTGGATATTTTAGGTATTTTGCCCCCTCTCAAAAAAATTTTTGCCCTCATTTTATCAATCCTAAGCATTTTTGCCCATCCCCCACCCAAAAAATTTTTTTTGCCCACCCTCAAAAAAGAAGCTGGATCCGCCCCTGGTAGCCCTTGCACACTTGTCACTGTATTCAAACCATACAGCGCGTCGCTTCCAGGGGACGCCCTAGCATTAACACAATTTCTTAAAGGATTCATGTCATTATTGTTCGACAAATTTTACGCTAGCTGTCGACTACCTAACGCAACCCTCTTTTCTCATCCAGGATTAAACCAAATAAAAAAAAATTATGAAAAATAAACTACTTTAAAAAATAAAAATGGGCCTTAAAATGCTTGAAATGGGATTGATTCATCTCTATTATGCCCTAATTTATCTTCATGGAAATTGACTTTGCCTATTTAATGTATAAAATTAATATAAATAAATTTCCTCTAATGTAATGAATTCTATCCTTAGATGTTATATTTTGATATAACTCATTGAATATTAAGACTAAGATGCACTCGATTTGATAAGAACAATTGGCTAATTGGAATGTTTATGATTGAAATTTGTTCAACGCATCCCAACAAGAACAATGAGTCCAATGATGATGTGACAACCACATCCAAATGATGGCTTCAGATGGGCAAACCTAAAGATTGCTAATATCCAAAGATGGATTTAGTTCTGTGAATAAATGATATCTACTTAATAGAATTATAGGCATATAATGAATTTTGAACTATAACATATTATAGACTTCTATGGTAAATGATTTAATATTGACTCGTTTAATAAAAATGGATCGCTTGCTGATCCTAGATACCTTAATTCTTAAAGACATTTTCAATGATCGCTGGTCATTGCTTGATACTGATTCATGCATCCTTTTGTACACAATGTCTGTTATCATCTTATTCCATTTATTTCACATAGCTTGATATTAGCTTACAAGTTCTCATCATCAATTATGTTGATTATATAAATGGCATAGTTACACTCAAGGTCGTTATATTGCTACTCCTAATGTGAATTATATTTGATTTTTCGAAATAGAAAGCATTGCTGAATTTATACTAGTCGTACTCTTTAAATTCCTACAATTACTACATTTAAATTAGTTCAGTTAATAAATTTTAAATACAATTAGAACTATTCAGCAATGCTTACATGATATATGTGCCTTTAAAATTGCAAGCAATCTTGTATAGGCCCCTCAATCCTATTGCTTATATTTGACAAGAAGTTTACCTAGTGAATTTATGTTTGCAACGCATGCTTGCTTCATAGTTTCGGAGTCTCCAGGAGCGAAATGTGAATATCATGCATTTTGTATTCTGGGAAAGCAGTATTGCTGACCGATGATTATTAGTGGATTCAACATAATGCAATGGATTAGTTATTGTTGTGTTCTAATTATATATTATAGTAATGAGTTTAAAACTCTAGCAATGAATGCATGTGATAGATAAAATTCATTCTTGTGATAGATAAACTGCCAGGATATTTTGGAAGATATTATAGCCTGACTTTTGAATTTGATGGATATAGCAAGACAATGCGGCCATATGTAAATTATAAGTATGAAAATGATGCAGGACTGAATGATCAAGTCCTGCAAAGAGGGATTTCTTGCTAGAATTAATTAAAACGTAGCAACATAAACTTTGCAAAACAATAAGAATGGTAGGCTAGTTGAATTAGAAATATACGAAGTTACTTGAAAACTTGCATGTAATGGCTTGATATTGCAAAGGATAAAATAATTGAGACATAACTCGTTTAAATCGGCACAAGCACAACATTCAACAAAGGACAATGCAAATGAGGTCCTTTCTCTAGTAGAACTAAGAGTGGATAAAATAACAAACTTGCAACGATGTTACCAAGAAGGAAGGCTAACCAAGTATCTAGCTAAGAGGAGAATAAATAAGGAACATAATTGGGCTCCTTGATGGCTATCTTCATATACTTGCTTCTCTTACAAAATGTTCTCAGATTTCTATGGGATTCCTCCTTGATGCTGGCTGAATTTAAAAGTGAATGCTCACAGTTTTCTAATTTGAGTGTGGCTGATATGGGAGAAAAAAATAGTCACTTTGAGAAGAAATGAAGTGGAAGAGGGAAGGGAAAGGGGTCGACCAACTTGGGAAAGGGGAAGGTAGTCAAGGTGCCATTAAGTGGAGCTTAGGGAATTGCTTGGGGAATTAATGAAACACGTGGGAAGAGGAGTGGGTACGCTAGGAATTAGGGAAAAACAATTAAGGGAAGTTTGAAAAATTAATTACAAGCTTTGAATTGTAATTAATTGTGCATGGGTAAGTGGGGAGTTAATGTTTGGCTTTGGCAGGGGAAAAGTTGAAACTTAATGAGGGTTGCTTGGGAATATGGAAAGGTGGTTTGGAAATCCCACAAATTAAATGAAAATCTGAATTAATTTCCATATTAATTATGCTTGGGAATACCAAGGGTTCAAGTGCATTTAATGTCAGAATATTAAGGGTCACAAAAGAAGATGAAATGGCATTTGTTGTTGGTGGTGAGACAGAATTTTGTGGACTGTAGGAGTGGAGGTGGGAGATGCTCGGCTGGAGCAGGAGATGGGGGTTAGGCGTTCGGCTAGATAAAATCCAAGAGCCCAAAGGCTGTTGGGTGACGCTTTGCCTTCTCCAAGGACTTCTCACGCTCACACTCTCAATTCTCCAAGAGAACAAGATCACACAAAATCAAAATTTAATAACATAAACATCAAAACATTACATGGGGTGGAGCCATATATATAAGCCCAAACAAAGGGAATAACCAAAAGACAACAATGCTCATGACACATCACATAAGTAGAGGGTAAAACAGGAAACAAACTAATAACATAAATAAGTCTCATACAAACAACAAAAACTAGAAATATAATGACTCAATCACGGCCGTAGATCGTCGGCCTCTCCTACAGTAGACTCTCTAGGGTCCGATGTCCTCATCAGAAAAAGCCTACCCTCTTGACGTTATACAACCAAAATTTGGGGTTTCGTTTAGTGCATTGTATTCATAATGATGTATCATAATTTAATGCTATCTCAGGTCAAATATTTATTGGGAATTCTAGCAAACCCGTTGGTGGATTACATTCGCAAGACAAACAACTAACTAAAGTTGATGGTCATACACTCTAATTTTCAATTACAGCAGTACAATGATTACACACATTTATGTAACACACCTTACAGCAGCTGTAATAATGAAACAGAGACCAGAAAGTTTTATATCAACATCATCATGGATTATTGATGAGGAAATATTGCATCCAGAGACAGTAACTACAAATCCTCTTTAGTCAACAAGTGAAAACAATTTCCAGCGCATTAAGAAAGTTATAATGCAACTTTTACAGCAGGAAAATCCACATATATGATGCAATATTGAAGTTTGAATAAAAGAGATTCAACAAGGTCAATGAAAATACTTGGTACTTGTCTTACCTTAACAGAATCAACTGGACCAAGATTTACACATTCTTCTCGAACGTCTGCTTCAAGATCTGGAAGGAGACTCTCGTCAGCCTGTAGAAATTAACAAAGCCATTCAAATTGGACAAAAAATGGTTCAACAATTTCAAGAAGGTCAATGGGTGGGAAACATTCTACAATAACTTGGTAGGAGATTTCATGAATTACCCTTAATTCAGCAGGAGAGAACATATTCCATAGTATAACAGTTGCGGGAATCAAGAGTTTTGCATCATCACGGCCACCTTAGCGCATTTACATTAGTAATATTAGGCTGGGGGTAGACATTTTGCAAGAAAAAACCAGCGAAAATCACAGCAAATCAAAAATAAAATTACTTGTACGTTCCTATCGAACATTGCAAAAAAGAAGGATTAAAACAGAATAACTGCTTGATACTACAAAAGAAACTCTGAGAGCCTAAAGCTACCGTAAACATGTCACTGTTGCAGATTCTAAACCAAGTATAATCTAAAAATAGTATAAAGCCAACTTTCAAACTATTAATTTTTCAAATATGTTAAAAGGCATGCCAACAATTGGAGACTGCGTGACTCAAACATTCTCAAAGCAGAAAAATATTTATTGCAGAATATAATGAATTCAACCACAAATAACTTTTGCCCACATGCACACTGTAAATTCATTCCTAGTTGTTTACTAAGAGATGCATTTCCATTACATATCAACGTCCATAACTTCAAACCAGTCATAAAGGATATTAAGGTGTTATGTCTCAAATGCAGGGACCATAACAGACACTTAAATATCTTGAGAATTTCAAGTCATAAGCAAATGGTAACACTCTCACAGGACCAATCACCATGGCAGCAGTCTTTGTGGCATGAAAAGGCAATACTTACCCCACCCAAGCATCTTATCTTCAACCTTCTTCAGCTTCTTTTTCTTGTTCTTATCTACTTGCTTCGTAATAAATTTATCTCCTGTGAAAAAAAATATGTTGAAAGATCCTGAATATAAAATAACAACATAAATTTATATACAGAAGGTAGATGCTTGAAGAAATTACCTTTTTGCTCAAACTTAGCCTGTGTTACTGACATAGGGATCTTCCCATCACTCCGGAAAGGTGCACCATCCAAAATTTGGGTTGCTAATGCAACAGAAGGTTCCTTGTACATAGAAAATTTTTCTTCGTAAAAGTTATAACATAAATAGCAATTTGATTTCTGTGAAAGCCATCTCACAATTGACTTGATATAGAAAATAGTAAAGGATCAAAAATAACTGGTAAATTTATGACCTGTACCTTCATATATGTGACAAGTGCATCGCCTTTTACTTTTCCAGATTCTCTGTCAAAATATATCTTCACCCGAGGCTTTTTAGTGTCAGGATCCTAGATACGAGAGTTTCAACAAAGTAGAAAACAACCAGATTATCAAAATAGAAGTTGTGCAACCCAACAAAAAATTGCCCCCAAATCCCCACCCTTCTCAAAAATAGCCTAACCTTCACTCGACCTAATTCAAGCCAAGGTTGGCTCAGATTGGGTTTGATCACTAAGAACCAAGGTTATTATCCATAAATCAAGATTATGAAAGCTTTATAACAATGCCATCTTTAAGCCTGCTTATTCAAAAGAGCTATATAAACTACGTATCAACAAATGGCAATAACAATGACATATATACATGTAATCAAATTTCGATAATACTCGTTTAAAAAAGTGTAATAAAATATCTAGTTTTTCTAAGCTGATTGCATGCATGAGAGTAATTCTAGCAAGCGTATCTACAGTAAAATGCAATGCAATTTAATTAAATTTACAAATATGAAAATCAATCCTTCGTCAACAAAGGGACTGATATAGGGCTATTTCCAAAAATTTTGAATTTATTCCGATAAGGGTGAAAAAAACTGATTAAATTAAAATATGTAATCCTAATTAGAAATAAAAGAGAGATTATATTTTTCTTAAGAGCGATCAATTTGATCTATTAATACCAATGTTAAGCACTGTGTGATATACGAGCATTTCTTTTTGCTTAAATGTGCAAAGCATAACACAACGCGGAGCTTTAATTAATTAGCGTGCTATTTACTTATCTATCATGTATATCTATATCTATATATATATTATGTGCATAAGATAGATATTTATTTAATCAAACTTAACTTATATCAAATAATAATTTTCAATAAATAAAATGATACATTCAATAATAATTATAAACATGAATTATTTAATAAATGATCTGTATTTTGATGTAATATAATCCAAATGAGAAAACAAAAGGTAATAAGATGACCAAATAAGAAATGAGAAAACAAAAGGTAATAAGATGACCAAATAAGAAGTTTTAAGATAGAAAATCCATCTTTCATTAAGATAATTTACAATTGCTTGCAAAATGAAGTTCATAACTTCACGACTTCATGTAAATTCAGATGCACAAATTTCTTCACTACAAATGTTTTAATGGTTAAAAAAACCTATGGCAACATTGGTTATAATCCAAATAATGGAAGACTAGACATATCAATCTAGGTGAGCACTTTTTTGTTTTTTTTTTAATCAGGGTGAGCACTTGAGTTTCAACAATTTCTGTTTAGGAGTCCCAATAATAATCAATAATAACCCATATTTTCACCATTAGAATCTAATGGTAGCAATCTTCTAAAAATTAAAAAACCCTTTTTCCATGAGGTTGAATCCTAACCTAACATGAAAAAGTACAAATTATAGATCTTATAGCTCATATTATAAGTTCTAATGATACTTCCGATAAATCTCAAAAGAGGCTGAAATTCATGGACCATTTCAGAGTGTACATCCACAAAAATACGATCCTATTAAACCCTGACACCGATTATGAGAACAATCCACCCTTACTCTCAAGCTCAGACACCTGCGTGCATCAAAAGACAACTCAAGCTAGCCTTGGACAGAACTGAAAATATGTTAAAATTACACACAATAAGACTTTCAAATCCATCAATAAGGTGGTGGATAAGATGGTAGAATTTGAAATGTATGAAATTACTAATCTTTCGAGATAGGTTGCTAAGAGATAAATTGAAAATTTTAATTCAAAACTAATGTGGGTAGCCTTCTTAAAAGGATTATTGTAAATTTTAGTAGTATAGAAATAGCTCATACATTAGTAATGAGACTTGGTGATAGAGGGAGAAAATACAAAGGGTTATTAAAGATAAAATACACCTTTAAAGCCAACTGAATGCTATTGAAGAACGAGCATAAGTGATGTAGGCAAGCTTTGGGTGTGCTAGCTTCTTGGGTTCTTTTGGTCTTTGGGCTGCTTGTTGCCTCTCGGGTTGGGACTTGGTTGCTCTCGGGTTGGGCCTTGGATGGTTTGGTTTTGAGCTAAATTCTTGGGAGCTACTTAATTCTAGCTCATTATTGCTTGAGCTGATATTTTAGCTCATTATTTGGTGGAGTTATTGCACATGAAAGCTCATTATGTGGAGTTGGAACCTTGCCTTTTCCCCTCTCTTTGTGTCTCCTCGGTTTCTTCCTGTGTTGTTTCCCGTGGCTGCTTTTTCTCCTTTGTTGGGTGCTGGTTCCGGTCCCCTTTGTGCCCCTTAGGTTTCTCCCCTGGTTGCTGTCCAGGTTCCCTGTGTTGCCCCTTCGGTTCCTCCCTTGACTGGTTGTCCCGTGGTTGTTTTTCTCTGGTTTATGTGTGACTGTTCAGGTGTTGTTTTGGAATAAATTTTGGCCTCTTTGGGTGCTGTTCTAGACTGATTGTTGGTTGGCAGTTTTGGGTGGTTGAAGTTCTCCTTTGGGCTCTCTTTTGGTGGATGTTTGGCTCCCCTTTCTTTACCTATATATAGGAGATGTTTGTGGCTGTTTTAGAGAGTTTTTAGTGAGTTATGTGTCTGGTTTTTGGAGCCTAAACCGGGTTTCTTCGTGGAAAAGCTTGCGAGCTTGTTTCATTCCTCTCTTCTTCTAGGAAAGCTTGCGAGCTTCTCCTCCTTCGTCTTAGCTTCTTATCTCTTTCTTCTCTCCGCAAGTTTCCTTCCACTTGTATCTTTCTTCTCAAGCAATGAACATGCAATTTTAGGTTGTTTATGTTTATGTTTGTGAGTGTCAAGAGTTGTAAGGTGTTTGTTTTAATTTCATAAGTCTGTAAGCGTCATTTTTATTTTATAAAAGTTGTAATTTATCTAATTTTTAGTATTTCGTATAATTTTCTATTTCTTAGGAAGCTTTTGTTTTTTCTTGCAAAAATTAGGGGCTTTTTTCCTAATTTTTACATGCATCAATTTGATATCAGAGAAGGTTAGCAAATCCTAGGTTTCTGAGTCGTGTTGTCAATTGAGTCTTGGTATCGAGTGAATTTAAGTTTTGTTGAGTCTTCTTTTCTTTGTTTAGAAATATGGAAAATCAAAAGCAGCCAAGTAATCTAGTGGACAATCTTCCAACATCAAAATGGATGCCTCATCATGAAGATTCTTCAGATCCTCTACAGTTTGAGCTTTTCAAGATTCAAGAGAAACTACGTTTAAGTGCCGAAAGATTCGAAGTTATAAAACTTTAACTCCTGTCTGAATTTGAACGAGAAAAGAAATCATCAAACGAAAGTATGACATTCTAATTCAAGAATCTGAAATGCCAAATTTACAAAATTTTGAAGACAACTCATCGGGTGATGAGCTTTTTCAACCGGAGGAGAATTGATGTAGGCAAGCTTTAGGTGCGCTAGCTTCTTGGGTTATTTTGGTCTTTGGGCTGCTTGTTGCCTCTCGGGTTGGGTCTTGGCTGCTTTGGTTTTGAGCTAAATTCTTGGGAGCTACTTAATTCTAGCTCATTATTGCTTGAGCTGATATTTTAGCTCATTATTTGGTGGAGTTTTAGAGAGTTATGTGATGATTTTTTGAAAGAAACCTACTGGTTTTCTCTAGCTTGCGAGCTAGCTTCTATCCCCTTCCCCTCTATGACTTCGTCTCGGGCTTCTTATCTATTTCTTCTCTCCACAAGTTCCCTTCCACTTGTATCTTTCTTCTCAAGCAATGGACATGCAATTTTAGGTTGTTTATGTTTGTGTTTGTAAGCGTCGAGAGTTGTAAGGTGTTCATTTTATTTTCATAAGTCCGTAAGCGTTTTATTTTTTTAAAGTTGTAATTTGTCTAATTTTTAGTATTTCAGGTAATTTTCTACTTCCTAGGAAGCTTTGTTTTTGCTTGCAAAAATTAGGGGTTTTTTCCTATTTTTTGCATGCATCAATAAGAAAGCTAGAAGTCATGCAAAAGGGATAGTAAGTTAAGCAAAAACTACATTTTTTTCATGATTTATAAAATTATAGTAAAGATATACTAGTAAGAGAGAACAAAATGATATATATAGAATATCTAAAGTATGAGATAAAAGATCTAGGAATAAAGTTAAATGCATTGAAGGAAGGTAATAAGATATTAGTTAAAGAAGAAAATATAAAAGAAATTTGACAAAAGTTAATTTAGGAAATTACAAAAAGATATATATATATATATATATATATATATATATTGAAAGAGCATAATAAAAAATACAATAAATTATAGATTGATCCAAAGGAAAGAAGTAGAGTTAACTCTAAAAAATGCATAAATTGAAGATTTAGATACAAATGAGACACCAATTAAGATTTGGAATTATGGGGGCATTTTTTTAATAGAATTTTGAAGACTAGGAGAATGTCAAATGATCAGAGAAGAAATTTTTTTTGTATTATTTAAGAATAAAGATAATATTCAAGATTGTGCTAACTAAGAGTAATAAAATTTGTAAGCCATACAATGAAGGTATGGGGGCTAGTACTTGTACAAAGGCTTAAATAATTTAAATCAATTTTGGAGAACTGTGAAGAAGATCTACAATAGAAGTTATTTTCATATGAAGAAAATTAATGGAGAGGAATAGTGAATAAAGAAGAGATTTTCTTATGATTGTTATTAATCTTAAGAATGTATGTATGATCTAGAACCACAAAAATTAATTTGGTGTGCTTTGAGGCATAAAGGTGTGTGAGTCAAATATATATTGTTATTATTAAAGATATGTGTGATGAAGCACTAACTAATATTAAAAACAGTTAGAGAATAAACCGAAAGTTCTCAATTACTACATGTTTACATCAATGATCAGCATTGAGTCCATATATTTTAAAGTTATTAGATGTTTCCGATTGAGGGCAGGGTCGATGAGTCGCTTGGCGGTAGAGGAAGCCTTGGGCCCAAAGTCTTATCATCATCGTCGAAGTATGACAGCAGCATCTTCCAGAGCTCTGGATCCCCAAGAAAAATCAGGGATATAAGAAAACCTCCAAAATACCACCCGAGCCCAAGCCGACTAAAGAGGCAGCGGAAAGAATTTTTTTCAGGAACATTTGAAAAAGGGAAGACTTTTTACTTCTATCCTCAGCTCCTCGTCTAGAAGCCACATCTAATCCTAGCCTATCTGTCCTTGCTTCCTCTAATCCTGCCCGCTATCCCAACTACAAAGAGAAAGAAGACGGCTACCCTCTCTAATTAGTTCTTATCTGTCCTAGCTAGATAGATCTAAAACCGCATACATGAAGTGTAATTTTAGTAGTAATAGATCTAATGCGGGGATTGTGAATTTGGGCGATCAAGTCATTAAAAAGAATACACGTTTTAGATATCTCGAATTTATTGTTCAAAGCGACGATTAAATCAATGGGATATTATTAGTAGAATTCAAGTTGAATGCTTGAAGTGGAAGAATGCATCGAGCCTATTGTGTGATAAAAAAATACCCCTCAAACTTAAGAGAAAATTCTATCAGATGTTGGTGAGACCTACAATGGTTTACGGCGCAAAATGTTGGCCATTAAAAGAGAAGCAAAAAATTAAGTGTTGCAAAAATGAAGATGCTTTAAATTTATAAAAATTGATAAAGCCACTCATCCATAATCTTTTTTTTTTTAATTATCCTACTCAGTTATATGGATGAGTGTCTTTGCTTTTAGAGACAGAATGTGAAATGCCCCCATAATTCCAAATCTCAATTCGTGAGGTTGGAGTAGCTCCAGTAGCAAATAAGATTAGAGCGAGTCACCTTAGATGGTTTGGTCACATAAATCGTCGACCTTCCAATAACCCGGTTAGGAGAATAGGTGCATTAGATTTGACCTTTGTTAAGATAGGTAGAGATAGACCTAAAAAGACTTAGAAAGTATTAGAAATGATTTTTTTTTAATTAGATTTAAATGAGAATTTGGCTCTTAACCAAACACAATGGACAAAATGGATTTACGTAGCTTACCCCACATAGTGGGATAAGGCCTTGATATTGTTGTTGTTGTATGGAGATACTTACAAAGAACATTCTAAGCGAGGTGCGTCTGTTTATACTTTTTGCAAATGATATATTTTTAATTGGTGAGACATCCATTGAAGTTGATAAACATTTTTGAGTGAATGAAAAATTTAGAATATTTGGATAAAATGGATTTACGTAGCTTACCCCACATAGTGGGATAAAGGCTTGATATTGTTGTTGTTGTATGGTTACAAAGAACATTCTAAGCGAGGTGCGTCGGTTTATACTTTTTGCAAATGATATATTTTTAATTGGTGAAACATCCATTGAAGTTGATAAACATTTTGAGTGAATGAAAAATTTATATATATATATATATATATAACTTCTAAAATTAAAATTGAGTGGCTAGAATGAAGAGATGCCTAAGAAACTTTGTATAATAAAATAATATCACAAAAGCTTAAAATTAAATTTTTTAAAACTACAATTAGGTCGGCAATATCATATGGATCTAAATATTGGGATATTTAAAAAATTATTGATATCTAAATTGAGTGTGGCATAAAAGATAATGTCAAGATGGATGTGTATCAAAACTAAGTAGGATAAATTTAAAAAAAAAAAAAAAAAAAAGATTATATCAGAAAAAAAGTTGGAATAATATTTAACAACGATATGGTAACATAAATAGACCTAAGTGGTTTAGACAAATACAATGAAGGATAGAAAATATGATTGACAGAAAAGTTGATAAAATTAATATCAATTATCAAAAAATAAAGGGGGTATGCCTGAGATTAAATGGATTGCAAAGAAAAGGTTTGCCAACATATAAACCGCTCAATAGTAATAAACGAAAAATGAAGATTCATAGCACTAACCACAAATATTTGGGATAAGGCTATGATGATAATAAATTTTAACTCCTCCCACCAATCTTCTCTTCAGCCTATAACTAGCTTCAGTTGAAAAGCGTGAAACAAGTAAAGAATTCCAAGGACTTACACTACAAAATTTGGTAATCAAAACAAAGGCATGTTTTGTAGTTCTTTAAAAAAATATATTTCAAACCTAACACTTCGTAATTCTGTATCCATCAAAATTTGAGCATAATCATTAAAGCCTTAATATCATGAACTTATCACCCTCATAGTTGAAAATGTAGGTAGGACAGTGGTGAGACAACAGCCTATTCATATACTCAAATCATTGAATTACTAGTAAATTCATAATATGTAATTTAAGACACATATTTTGTACAATAAAACAAATAAGGTTAGCAGAAATTACCTAGATTAATGATCAAATATCCTCAGTATCATCTAAATTCCCAGCAAAATTAACCTGGCTCACTAGAGACTAAATCTGAGCCCAACTTAATATAAAATTAGAAAGAAAAAAAATTTTGAAGAAAAAAATAATTTTCAATAATGGGAAAAGTTCGGTTTCAGTTCTCCTGATGATTAAATAAATTGAAATAAAGACTCATACATAGCATATAAGTGAAGATAGAAACAATCAGCACAACAAATGTCATGAGTTAAGATGAATTGTACATATATTAGATGTTTTCAGCAGCACGTTACAGAGAGGAAAAAGAAAGAAAAAAAAAGGTCAAAGTCATTTACCACTTTAATGTATCCACACTTGGAAAACACTTCAGCAACCTGGAAAACATATTCCAAAAGTCAGTTCAAACATATGCATAAGTCAAGGAATGTAACATAATTTTGAGTAGTCATGGAGTTATGGTTGCAATACATTAGCAAAGAACTGTTTTATTAAGCCATGCATAGACAAGTTGGCCTCAAATGACTTAACAAAACTGATTAAAACCATGTTTTATTCTATACATTTAAAAGGATGGTCACTCCAACTTACTTCCTCAGCCGTAACATCATCTGGTAAACCAGTAACATAAACATGTGTGTTGACCTTTAAGTCGAACCAACTATCTGGAACTTTATTTGATTCCTGTTGATATGGCATAAAGAACTATTATGGACAGCCTCCTATTTTCAATAATCACTATCAATCTATGTGAGTTTGTTGAAAAGAACGGACTTACACTCCTCTATCATCCAAGACATTTAACAAGTGAAATAAATGGTAGAGGCAACAAGCTACTGATCAAGAAGAAATAGGTCGAGCATAAGACAGTCAAGTAAAGAACCTTCTTTTGAGTGGAATTATCAGGCAACTTCCTCTTTCCATCAGACTTTTTTTCAGGTTCGGATTTATTCTCTGCTTCAGGCTTCTTTTCAGCATCTGACTTGTTCTCTGCTTCAGATATCTTCTCAGTTTTGGACTTCTTTTCTTCTTTCTCAGCATCAGCAGCACTCCCTTCAACTACAGGGGCATCTGCAGTGCCAAATGTTGGTAATACTTCCTCATCATATAAGAAAGTCATCTCTTCAGTTCCATATTCTTCCTTTGCAATTAAATTATCCTTAAGAAGAAGAAGATCATATCATATTTTGCTTCTCTCTTAAATAACTCAAAACAAAAATAAAGAACCAGGAACTAAGGAAAAAGATAAAAAACAATGCAGGCTGCAAGAGAGATGCAATATTCGTAGGATTCTTAAGTATTGATGAAAGAAAGCATCATGTAGCACATAACTAAAAAGCTTCACAGCATATGAAGTAGCAAGTTGCTAAAAAAATGCAACAATATGATGGAAGCAGAAAAGAAATGATTCAGCAGGCAGAAAACCATAAGCAATAGTTGTAAGTACCAACGTTTCTGGTAAAATAAATTTTATAGAAAATAGATGAAAAATAATTTTCTTTGTTATTTAAAAAAATGATTATTGCAATAATACTAAGCCATATATTTACTTGAGGAACCCATGCTCTTAGACCACGATCCCATTTGTACATAGTCCCATCATCATCAGTGAATTCCTCCTCTTCCTCTGGCGGAGTCCCTGGCCTATCTTCGAGATTGGTTTCTACTCCTTTCTGTATTTCCCCGCTATCACCATCTCCATGGTCGCCAGTTTCCCTTCCAGGTTTCAAATCCTTTGCTCCTGCCTCAGCCTCACTGATCTCTTTTTGCCATTTTGCAAAATCATCCACACTATCTGGCATTCCTGCAGAACATGCATCAGAGGGAATACTAAACAGTAGCTAAACATATGAAAAGGAGATAGTACCTTCACCTGCAGTAGGATAATCATAACTATGGATAGGCATGTTTGCAAAGAGCTCAGGAATTGAAGACAGTGGCATCCAATCACTCCTCCCTTCGGACCATAGCAAGGTGCTCTCTAAAATGTACCCATTTGCATAATGCTCTGCCCAGTTCAACAAATAAAGCTAAGTGGGCTGCACAACAGTATATAAACTGTGTGAGCAACTTTATTCATGTATGTGGAATTGTGAGTGGATATCTACCATCCATTTCAGTGGCATGTCAAGGTATGAAAGAGGCAATTTATCATAAGGAAAAGGATATAGAAGTTACAGCAACTATGGTTTTAACAGCAAAAAGGCATCAATGGTTGACAAGAAGAATTAAACAATTCAACAAATTATCCCAAGTTTGCTATACATCTATAAATACGATAAGAATAGAACTAGCACTACCATAATCCACTAAACATAAGCTAAAAGCCAAGACATTTAAAATTTCCAAGCTCACTCACCTTGTAACTCTGAAAAAGCATAAGGTCCTAGTTGCTCTTGATTTGGCCCGAGAACATACCAACCCACTTCTGTGAGAACTGTAGCATCTCCAGTATTGCCATCCTCCATACTTAAATTCAAACCTGATTACAAAGGAAGCTCATAATCATAAAAATATTCTTATAGTTGGCACCCTACTAGATTATGATAAAAACATACGAAACCTAAATTCACCATGCCATTACCTATTAGAAGCGGAAAAAGCCTGAATTAAAATATACACTTGAAGATACCACTAAGAATAGGACTGAACTAATCACATAGGATTCAAGTTTTTGTGACGAAAAAAAAAAAAAAATCATGAGCCTTTTATTTTGCATGGTGGAAAAAGATTATCTTGATTGGAAAGCAAGAAGGAAAGTATTGGAGGAGAAAAAAAAAGCAGTTTGGTGCCCTTTGTAACCTGACAACTGACCAATACTGATACTATCTCTCTCTTGGTGTTCTATATGAGGTGTTGGGTAGTCGAAATTCAAAGGAAAAATACCCTACACCTTGTCATTAATATTGGTTATTTTTAACTATATGATAGTTGGAAGTTGATCAGTTTCAATAATAGATAATGGCTAGCTCTTGAAAGTGTTAAATGTCATAAAAAGGTACGGAGCCAAGATTTCTTCATGTAGGGGCATAAATTATTAAATTTAAAAATACCTTAACCTTTGTCATCCGGGCTAGAGATCCACATTGATAGTTTTAATCCGGGATCTCTAGGGATATCAACAAAATTTATTTCTACACAAATTTATTTGAGATATATATTTATATCATCACATAAATTTTCATGTTCATCTCCTTCAGCTTTTTTTAAATACCCTTTTTATCCAATTTGAATGAAAAAAGTAATTAACAATCTTATAACAAATCATTTAATTTTTGTCTCAATGAAAGATATTAAAGTGAAAAAATTAATATGAATTTCTTAACTTGTTTCGAGACTTTTCAATCTTCTCACAAATGTAGATGGTTCCAAATTATTGAAGCCAAAAAAAAAATATTTAATACATTTATTTAAACTAGCTGCTATTTTTAAACCATCTCATGTTTTAACACAAAAATAAAATCAAGGAACTTGAACTTCAAATCTGGCTTGATATGGGATAGACGAGAGAGAGAGAGAAGAATTATCTGATCACGTGAACAACCAAGCACTCCAAATCTCCAATAGCCATTGGTGAGTGAGAGAGATGATGGAAAGAAAAACAAAGTCACTGGAGGGGAAGGATGCAAAGGATGAAGAAGGAAGGAAATAATTAACATAATTATTATTTTACTATTACCGCATATATAATAGTATTCAGTCGGTAACTAGCAGGCCCTCCCCTCGGGCCCCACCTTAAATCCGCAAATGGTCATACACATTAATACTACTACAACAACAACAACAACATCAAGCCTTTATCACACTATGTGGGGTCGGCTATATAAATCTTTTTTCTCCATCATGTTCTATTAAAAGTCAAATTCTCGTTTAAATCTAATAAAGAAAGATCATTTCTAATATTTTCTAACCAGATCTTTTTAGGTATGCCTCTACTTTTCTTAACATAAGTCAAATATAATATCTCTACTTTCCTAATTGGGTCATCGGAAGCCTGCCGTTTTATGTGACCAAACCATCTAAGGCTACTTTCTCTAATATTATCTTCGACTAGAGCTACTCCAACCTTTTCACGTATATGCTCATTTCGTATCCTATCTCTAAAGTTAAAGCCACTCATCCACCTGAGCAACCTCATCTCTCCCACATTTAACTTGGTATTATGCTTCTCTTTTAATGGCCAACATTCGACACCATAAAGCATTGCATGCCTCACCACCATCTTATAGAATTTTCCCTTAAGTTTGAGGGATACTTTTTTATCACAAAACAAGCCTGATGCATTCCTCCACTTCAACCATCCAACTTGAATTTTGTTGATAATATCCCCATCTATTTCACCATCACGCTAAACAATAGATCCAAGATATCTAAAAAACATACTCTTATTAATGACTTGATCGCCTGAAGTCATAATCCCGTCTATTACTACTAAAATTACACTCCATATATTTTGTTTTAGATCTACACAAGCAAAAACCTTTAGACTCTAAGGTTGACCTCCATAATTCTTTTTAGGTCATAAACATTAATACTATTGTTAAAAAATATTCATTGAATTTTAACCCTTGAAAATGAATCAACCGTCACTATTTTATGTTTGCGTATTTTATTTCATTGCATCAACATCCTATATTAACTTTTCAAGTGTCTTTTCCTTCAATTCCTAAAAAAATTAATAATGAACTAATCATTTCCATTGTTTATAGAAATAGACTTATTAAATATATAATTAATAAGCAGCCAAATAAATTGTTATTTTTATCATTTTTATTTTTCATATGAATTTTTTGCAAAAAAAATAATCTTCTTTTAACCGAAAAAAAAAATCCAATGAAATTATTGACTTAACCACATATATCTATCTAATATTTAATCGAAATATGCATATCCAAACCTAACAAATGATGTAGTTGGTGTGAGATATATAACATTATTTGAGGCAGCTATGCTTTTTTGCATTTGTTGTCAAAGCTTTAAAAATACTACTTTCTAAACCATAGTTTCTATCTTGTTTTCCAAAATTTAGCTTTTCTAAAGCAAAATTTGGTAAAAACATACGCAAGATAAAAAAGTTGCTTAGTTCTTTTCATCAAAATATAAACTACTTTTTGTTGGTTACTTATTCTGCCAAAAAGAAGTCAAAAAATGTCCCAAAAGAAGCCACTGCACGAATGGAATATAATTTCTAAGTCTGAAAAATTGCTGTCATTTTATGCCATTCTAGCCTGAATGCTTGGTTAATTAATGTAAAGTATTCATTATTTATGAGGCACAGAGGCATGCTCTTGCTTTCTCTTGACTTAATTTTCCATAATTATTTGTTTCCATCAAAATTTTGGTTTTATCAAGTATATTTTTAATAATTAAAAAGCCTTTGTAAAAGTGCAACCAATAGTGCATTATAAGCTTACAAAGAGAAGGGATGGGTAAGGCCTCCACAATGTCATTCAAAATAGAGTTTTAGAAGGGATTGAAGTTACTCTCTTTGTACTATGCAAAGACCAGTACATTTTTACTAGCTTTTACAAAGTCGCATCTGAAACAAATTTTTGTTGCCTTTCAAGCTACAAAAAAAAAAAAAAAACGGTGCTAGGAACCCTACAGTAAAGCATTCGTGCCAATAGCTAAAATGAATGGAACTATCGTCCCCTAGAAGTTTTTAATGCACAAAAGTAATGAACAACAATACTTAAGTATCAATGTCAGAATACACAGAAATAGGGAAACAAAATCAATATCATAAATTATTCCATAAATCCATGCTTTTAGCACTAATTGTTTGACTAAATTATTGTAAGAAAGGAACTCAATTTAGATTAACATATTTCAGGTAAATTTTAACTCATACTTATGTTAGATTAGATATGATGATCACCAAAATCAGATTCATAATGATAAATAATGTTTATATAATTTACTCCTAAATTTCATTGAGCAAGATTGAAATCAACCTGTGTGGCATTCACTTACTTATTAACACGGTGGGAAGGGAAAAAGGGGCCGAACAGCAAAGATGCAGCGATGGACAAGTTTGATGACGACACTACTGCAAGAACGAAAAAAACGGACAATAAGATTGCAAAGATGTCAAAGGAGGCAAGGAAGCCGACTGTGGCTTAGATAAATGCCGGTATTATAGTCAAAAATAAGATATGAAGAAGAAGACGACGATACCGTTCAAAAGCGTATGTCCGACGACGTTAGTAGATGCGGCAGGCGCCAAGTCACGGCGGTGAGATAAGCCCCGGACTCAACTGCAGGGTGTGTGTGCGTGGAGGGAGATCACCAGCGAGCTCCCGTTCTTTCTTCCGATCAAAATGTGGTAACTTCCGATCCGACAGCAAGGGAAAGTCGTCGAAGGAGGCGAAGAAGCGACGCGTGCAATCTCTACACCTTGCAAAGCAACGAAGCCGAAGAGCATCGAAAAAGAGAAGATGAAGGGCAAAACCCTTGACGCCTCTAAGGTATTACCGTATTATTGACTAACTTAATTAATATAATTTAAATTATTAATAATTAATTAAATAAATAATGTATAGTATATTAGTGCATAAATTAATTATTTAATTTAACTTAATTGTATAATTATTAATTAAATATTAATATAATTATCTTAATTAATATAACTTAAATATACATTATTAAATATATAATTAATAATCAAAATAATAATTAACGAGTAATTTGTACTTAACATGTTATTAAATTCATGACATATATATATTTTTTATAAATTTATTTTTTAATCTATAATTATCTTCTTCACATTTTAATCTCTAACTATCATAAATCCTGAAATATGTTACCAAACAGTGTATCAGAATTTAACAATATTTAACATTTGGCATACCAAACAGTTTTTAGGATTTAACACATTTTAGATTTACTAAATCCGGATTTACAGAATTTACTAAATCCCAATTGTTGCCAAATAGCCCCTTAGGGAAGACTTGGAACGCGAATTATATGGGGCGAAGTGCGGACCGTCGCAAGTCGAAGTAAACTAGCAAATGCGGAGTTGAGAACTGAAGCCTATTTTGAAAGGAAAATATTAAAAAAAAAAATTGACAAGCATTTATCTCATTGCATGTGTAAATTATATAAGATTTAAATTTTCATTTAAATCTAATAAATAAATATTTTTAATATTTTCTAACTAAATATTTTTAGCCCTATTTCTAACTTTCTTAATAAAGATTATGGTTAAATTTGGGACAATTTTTCAATTACTTTCTAAAATAATTTTCTGATACAAAATTTTTTAATTCAATATATTTTTTAACTAAGAAGCATTAAAAAAGTTATCCCAAATGAAGCCTATATCTAATACACCTACTCTTCAAGGAGGGTAATTAGAAGACTAATGTTTTATATGACCAAACCAGCTAAGTATATTATCTCTAATCTAATATATCACTTGAGCATCTCCAATCTTTTCAAGTGTATCTTTATTTTGTCTTCTATCTTTAGATGAAAAATCACTCATCCACCTGAGCATCCTCATCTCTGCAAAACTTAACTTAATTTTATGTCTACATTTTAATAGCCAACATTCTACATCATAAAGTATTGTAAGTCTCACAACATTGATAAAAATTTCTATTAAGTTTGAGGGAGACACTTTTCTATCACACAACATAACCAATGCATTTCTCCATTTCAACCATCCAACTTTCATATTAATAAAATCCCATTCTATTTCACCATCACTTTGAACATTAGACTTGAGATATCTAAAACGTGGACTATTTTTAATGTCTCGATTACCTAATATCACATTCCCACCCCTAGATCTATTAATACTAAAATTTTGCTTCATATATCTGATTTTATATCTACTCGAACAGAAACCTTTAGATTCTAATGTTGATATCCATAATTCAAGTTTTTCATCAACTCTTTTCAGTCTTATCAACAATAATAATATCGTTAGCTAAAAGCACACACCAAGATACATCCTCTTAAAAATATATAGTAAGAACATTAATGACTAAAGGAAAAATATATAACATCTTATAATCTAATTTGGAAGAATTATTCTTTTATCTTTTGATTTACACAATCAGAGTTAACTAATTTTTTATCAATATATACATTTATATTCATTTTTCAAAAAAAATCATATACACTATTCAAGATCTATACAATCATACCACAACTAATATAGCCTAAGTACAAAAGAATAGTTAAAATAACAATAATCTGAACCTAAAGGATCCTGACCAATCTCTCACTTCGTCTATCTTGCCTTGACCTAGAATCATTTAACCATATAAAATAAGCTCAAGAGGCCAGCGAATAACCAAATCCTACAACTTAACTAAATGCACAACAAAGAAGCAATATGTATGTCATCAATCAAATCACAGCAATAGTAATCACATTACAATGAATTTGTGTAAAAACAGTAAGGCTCACATGCAGTAGTAGTATAATCTGTAAACAGTAAAATAGTACGATATAGAAGACAAAAAAGCAGTACAATGGGGAAATCAATAAACCAATATGGATGCGGAATCAATAAAATTGTCATCATATCAGTACTATCAATTAGTAAATCAATCATATAAAATAGTAAAATCAAAGTATCATTAAAGAACCATCGAACTCATTATGAGTTGGACTTGGTTGCATTCATGTAGCTCGCTCTATCACATTTCATTCAATTATTTATGATATGTTATGTCATTCAATCATTCAAATAAATTTCTTACTAGAAAAACTTTCATTTTATTGTCGATCTTCCAAATGTTGCAAGTTATACACGCATAGTTAATCATGGTGCAACAATCTCTATGACTACCACTGACAGCTCTACCATCCTCCCTGTTTCTTTATCTTTCATTGTATGCTCTGGACCCTATAGTGTTTTTTCCTTCAGTCTATCTAGACTGCCCTGCACCAGAATTAGTCCTTCCTTTAAATTCTCTTTAAGGGCAATTTGTTACATAGTGTCCTTGTTGTCCATACCAAAAATATTGCCTAGTCAAGACATAGCATTGACTTGAATGCCTCCTTCTATAATGAATACACTCGATGTAGCTGTCAATAAATGCTACCAATATAGATCCCCTCGAATCACTATACCTGCTCTTCTTATCATTGTCTCTCTTTATCTGCTTGGTTCATCTCTACCGCTTCTCCTACTAACATTGTATATAGAGCTCACCTCATACATGAATGCTCGTGTTATCAAATCAATTTCTATCAGTTTGGCCCTCTTTACTAACTTAGAAAACTCTTAAATCAATAAAGGTACTAGCGGATGTCTCAACTCCCTGTTCATCCCTTATAAAAATTTGTAGCACTTTTCCTCAACAAGTAGGAATCAAGTGAAAAGCATACCTAGCGATAGCTGTAATATTGGCTTCATATTGTATCAATGTCTTGCGTCTTTGCTCTAACTTGATAAAAGCTTTTTGAATCTGTCATTGGGCTGAGGGAGGTACAAACCACATCTTAAATACTGTAGTGAACTCATCATAAGTGATCCCATAATTAGTCTTTCCCTGTAATTTCTTTTTTTTTTCCAACCCACTATCTCTCTGCCTCTCCTTCAAACAAGAACACAGCTAATGATACCTTCAAACTCTCCGAATACTGCATGTTGTCAAAGATCTTTTGTATCCTTAGTAATTAGTCTTTTGCAGCCTAAGATCCTACAGCTCCTTTGAACAATGGAAGCTTCAACTTATGAAATGTCTTCAAATACTTATCTTCCTATTCTTCTTTGCTCTCAACTAACTTACTCTACGCATCCCCCATTGCCTGTGCTATAACAATGGCCAAGTGCATAATATTGTCTGATGGCACTAGAGTTGCATTATGTTTCTCATTTAGTGCATATTGCTCTGGTAGGTCCATTTTAATTGTTCACTTTACATAATTCTATATGATCTAAATAATTTACACATGCAATTAATTATATATGCAAAATAATACACCTTAATCTACCTAATTTATTTGACTCATAATCAATTACTATAGCTCTAGTAACAATCAATTCTTCCAATAACATTACTCTAATACCAATTGTTATGCCTCATATTCTAATTTAAAAGAATTAATCTTTTATATTTTTATTTACATAACCAGGGCTACATATTTTCTTTTATCAATATAAATAATAACAAAAATAAAACTATCGATCAAAATATTAATATATACATTTGTATTCATTTCCAAAAAAAAAAAAAAATCAAATACACTACTCGAGATCTATACAATCATACCACAATTAATCTATCCTAATTACAAAAGAATAGCTAAAATAGTAAGAATTTGAACCTGAAGGATCCTGATCAATCTTTCACTCCCGTTCTCTTGCTTTGACCAGAAAATATTTAACTACATATAATAAGAAAGAGTGAAGATTTTATTTGGCATGGTCTAAATACAAGGTATGTGTAGTTAATCATGGTGCAACAATCTCTCTCTGGCTACCACTGAAAGCTCTACCATTCGCCCTGTTGCTTTATCTTTCATTGTATGCTCTGGACCCTACAGTGTTTTTTCCTTCAGTTTATATGGACTGTCCTGCACCATAATTAGTCCTTCCTTTAAATTCTCTTTAAGGACAATTTGTTACCTAGTGTACTTGTTGTTCTTATCAAAAATATTGCCTAGTCAAGACATATCACTGACTTGAATGCCTCCTTCTATAATGAATACACTCGATGTAGTTATCGGTAAATGCTACCAATATAGATCCCCTCAAATCACTATACTTGCTCTTCTTATCATTATATTTCTTTCTCTATTTGGTTCATCTCTACCTCTTCTCCTACTAACATTGTATGTAGAGCTCAGCTCATACATGAATGCTGGTGTTATCAAAACAATTTCTTTCAGTTTGACCCTCTCTACTAACTCAGAAAATTCTTAAATCAATAAAGGTACTAGCAGATGTCTCAACTCTCTATTCATTCCTTATAAAAATTTATAGCACTTTTCCTCAACAAGTAAGAATCAAGTGAGGAGAATACCTAGCGAGAGCTGTAAACTTAGCTTCATATTGTATCACTGTCTTACGTCTTTGCTCTAACTTGATAAAAGCTTTTTGAATCTGTCATTGGGCTGAGGGAGGTACAAACCACATCCTAAATATTGTAGTGAACTCATCCCAAGTGATCACATAATTAGTCTTTCCCTGTAATTTCTCTCTTTTTTGTCTAACCCACCATCTCTCTGCCTCTCCTTCAAACAGGAACACAACTAATGATACCTTCAAACTCTCTGAATAATGCATGTTATCAAAGATCTTTTGTATCCTTAGTAATTAGTCTTATGCAGCCTGAGATCCTACAACTCCTTTGAACAATGAATGCTTCAACTTATGAAATGTCTTCAAATACTTATCTTCATATTCTTCTTTGCTCCCAACTGACTTACTCTACGTATCCCCCATTA